ACCTTTCTATGCAATGGCTTACGTAACGTCTAAGAGTGCTTGTGGACATAATTCGCGAACATACTTCGCTTTAACACGCCTTCAGGACGAAACCAAATCTGATTTAGGCCCTATAAAATAAAAGTTCCTACATGATTAGGTATGGCTTAAAATAGTGAAATCAATTAGCTTCATTAAATGACTTATTAAAACCATATCTGCACCAAAGAGCGAATAAAAGATGTAAAATATTGGTCCATTGTATTGGCTACAACATAATTGCTTCGTAACTGCTTTATAATGTGTGACATAATGGATGATTTGCGCATAGGGTTTTTATAACGGCACTGAAGTGGAAAAAAACAAAAGAAAAATACATTTAATTAGAGAAGATAAAAGCTGCGTGAACGAATAAAGGACTTCAAGGGCGGAAATGCTAACCTTGAATTGTGAATGCTGGAACAAAACGTCGTCACACAGAGACAGAAATTGAGAGCCAATCTGCCTACAGATCTATTGCTGATAACCCAAAGGAACTAATGATATCTCAGTGATGGTAAAATATTACAAAAGACTTATGCAAATGCCCTCTGTGGGATTTAAGTTGAAAATAACGAATTGAATAAGCATGTAGATGCAAAAATGGATGAATTTTGGGGGTCAAACAGATAAATAATTGATAGGATATGGACTTACATGACCATAGAAAGTAAAGAGAGGGCTTTTGTACCGCGTCGGTGTGGGTACCCAGGGTTACGAAAAAGGCGATAAGAAGGAACACGAGGGCAGCAATCCCATACAGGACCCAACGGAGCCTAGCGTAGGCTGGGCCAAAGCTGGATACTTTGGTACAGTGTGGGCAACGGGCTGCGATTAAAGAAGACATGCTAGAAGCCGCGCCGAATGAGAGACAGCTAATTAAACGATTTGGTCTAGGAATAGCTAAAGCAACGAGGGTAAAGGAAAGACCATAACCAGGTTTAAGTTTTAAAACGTTTATAAGCTCAAGGGAGAAAATAAACTAAGATATGTGACTTAATTCTGACAATTCTGAAAAAGATAAATTCGAAGTGCATGGATTATTAAATTAATTTTAATCGCTTTGCCATAGAAAAATTTTTGAAGTTTTCAATGTATAATTAAATTTTTAGAAGAATGAAAAATGCAATCAAATGCGTAAAGAAAAAATGTTTGCA